TTTGGCCTCAACTTGAGAGCTTTTTTTGAGCTTGAGAGTTGATTTCAGAGAAAACCAGTGGCGCCATCGTGTTTCTCGCAAACTTTTACATAAGAATCAAGAGTCAAATTGCATATTCCTCACAATGCAACATGTCCATTTTGTTCGCAATCGCACCTAAAGATTCTGAAAATTTAAAGGAAAGCCATTTATACATTTCCTAAAAAATAAACATTTTATCGAAGGAAATTTGGCAACTCTCGCATGTTCATAAGGCGTTCTTTCTCAGCACGGCGGAGTGCATAGCGGGTGACGTCATGCCGTTGCTCGGATCGGCTGTAATTTCCAGTTGCCCGGGCCGGTAAGAGGACCGCGGCCAATAAAAATGCAAACTCGGTTGAACGCACGGCACCAGGAAAAAAGCACCGGCCGGATTCGGTCGGATTCCTCGTCGGGATATGCTATGAGTGATGGCTGATGCGCGGCATTGCTTTGGATGGATCTCGTGTTGCGCGGCTTGCAGCGAAGTCGTTTCGAAGGGGATTTATCGCCGTGAAAAGCTGTGACAGGTCTGGTTGCGTTGTTAATGATCGCTTGCAGTGGTGCCCATCCCCCCCTGAAAAATTTTGAATTCATACGAGTTCCCCCCCCCATCTGAATTTCTTTGCCCCCCCACCGGGGTATCTGAGGGGGGATCAGGGGGGCCTCCCCCAGAAAATGTTGACAGTTTTGATGTTATTTGGGGGCAATTCGGCAATTTGAGGCATTCCTTACGGGTTTTCATGTAAATTCTGCTTATTTTCAATTCAGTTTCTTTTGCATGAAATTCTAGGGGGACAGTCAAACTTCTAGGGAGAGAAGTGAAAATTCTAGGCGGGGGGGTGCAAATTCGGGAGGGGAAGTGAAAATTCTAGGGGGCCAAGTCACACCTCTAGGGGGGAAGTCAAAAATTGAGGGGGGAAGTCAAAAATTGAGGGGGGATTCAAAATTCTAGGGGGGAAGTCACAATTCTGGGAGGAAAAAAACCAGAGTCCCCCCCTATTTCAAAAGTGAATAGTTGCTCGTATGAAAAACCCGGGGTGGGCACCACTGATCGCTTGGAAGGGGCACAAGTATGGTAATTTCGCTGGTTCTGCTTCCTGCTGTCAGTTAAGAATATTGCTTCACCGAAAAAATGGATTGCTGATTTAAAAATGCAATTGTTAAGAAGAGTGACTGCAGTGTTTCAAAAGTACACTTTACGATAGTGCAAAGCTAATTTAACCACGGGGGTGTTCAAAGTATAGCATTTGTGTGTTGTAAAATCTACATCGAAACATTGCCGTCACTTTTTTACGTGTAACATTGGAAATGTATCCTTGCAGGAAATTCCAACGATATACCACTGCAAAAAGTACAAAATACGGAAAAAAATATTCATTGATTTTGACAGACTATAAGGTAGGTGCCAATCTACCTTAGAACGCAGAGAACGTCCCGGATTTTGTGTTTGTTGTTTTTTAGCCTTGGTTACCCATTTTTGTGTGTTTTTTAGTTGAATCATACGAGCTATTTGTGCGTTTTATTATTTCCTAACTTAAGATTTACAAAACTTGGGATACAACTATATTGTATCACGTGTATATCGCCCTATCTAACTTTTCTACTCATGCGTGAGAGTCTCCAAGTAAGCAGAAGAAAGTCAGGTTTTCCTTCAATTTTTTGGACATGCAATTTTACCTATTTGGAAGTTGAAATAGTCGTATCACTTGTTTCGTTCCATCTAAATTTTCCATTCCGCGTCTCTGAGTCATCGGAAAAGAGACCAACTTCTCCTTCATTTTCAATACATACAAGTTTGCCTGTTAAAAGGTTTTTGTAATAGATTCTTTGGTTTTCTGTATTTTTAGTGGTGGTAAATCATTGTATTCCTTTTCAGAGCCTCACACGGAGAAAAAAAACTCATGCGTGGGACCCGAATTTAGGTCATATGAATCTCTATAGTTTTTGGATTGAGCATCTGAACACTTTAGGCCCAGCTGTCGAGGTTCGGATCACACATCTGAAACTCATACTAAACTTCGGGTCCCACGCACGAAGTTTTTTTCTCCGTGCATTTTCAAAGTTATCCTGCTGAATTTTCCTCGAGGTATATGCAAAAATGATCCTTTCAATGTAGCGATTTTGACGGCTGTCTTAAACCTCACTAAATCACGATGTAAAATGATGACTGGAAATTAATCCTCGGGTTGTTGTGGGACTAGAAATCCGGGCCTCAGCCTGGTTCGGCAACGCGGAGGCAGTGAGCGAGGCAAAAGATCCAAGTGGCAGAATCTCGTTTGGATGCAGATTTACGATACGGTTAATTGACGGCTTTGAAGCGCTCACTTCAAAAATTTTTCCGTCCACCGGCTTAATACTTCGGCTTCGCTCCGCAACATGGCGGCCTGGACCTCATCTCGTCATAATCAAGTTCAGAGGCACGGCATCTCACCTCACTTCCATGTCCTGACCAGGAGCACATGCATCTTTTAGAAACCCCGCACTGCACTGGAAAAAAAAACACATTGGATCAAGAGTCTAGACTCTTAAAAACATCAACAAGAAAAAATACTCTTGATTCAATCAGATTTTCGCTTAAATTAAGAACCAAGCCTCTTAATTTGAGCGGATTTCCTTTTGATCTAAGCAAAAATCTGATTGAATCAAGAGTTCTTTTTCTTGTCAATGTTTTCAAGAGTCTGGACTCTAGATCCAATGTGTTTTTTCTTCCAGTGTGCTGTGCCGTGATAGCCAAGACAGGGTGTCTGTCTAGTTGTTTTTTATTTTGGGAAATCCTGAAGAAATCCTGATTTTTGACTGATAAACCCTGATTTCATAATTTTTCCAAATCCTGATCAAATCCTGATTTTTTGCGAGGAAAAATTAAAATTTCTGCATAAGCGTGTGCGAAAGCAGAACTCTAAAATTAAGTTCCAAAGATTAAAAGCTAGTGTGAATCAATGAAAATGTAAATACACGCAATGAACCAGATCGAACCGATCGGACGGCCGACTTTTCTCAAATCCTGATTTTACGGCCGATTTTTCCTCAAATCCTGATGACATCGGGATTAAATCCTGATTGACCTCAAATCCTGATATAATCGGAAAAATCGGGAAAATCCTGATGCTAGACATCCTGCAAGAGAGCGGTGAGTGCAAAAATAAAGTTTTGAGAAAACGGGCTCAAAAAATCACCGGGCTGACCGGAAAATTGTATTGACACAAAGCCTCCTCAAGAAAAAAAAAGTTAGGGCTTTGAGGACATCTCGTCCGCGTTACGGGTTCGCCGAAAGTTCCGGGTGCTGGAGCCGTAGCTTCGATTGCTTCGGGTGCTGCGCCCGGAACTTTCGACCTCAGAGTCCGGAACGCAGACGGTATGTCTATATAGCCCGTAAGTGCGGCTTCCACGGCTGGATTTTTTTTTAGTGCATTTATCTGGCAACGGACATCGATACTTCCTCCCCTTTAATGATCATAAGCTCTCATTTTACAACGGGCCTGTGCATCTAGGTTAATGGAGATGGCTAGGAATGTAATTCATAAACTCAGTTGTCGCGTCGTAAAAACAGCAGTGCTGAAACGACCTAAAAGTGGCGCCCCATCGGCCGCCTCCGGTATGTTCCCCGCAGTGGCGTGGCGTGAAGGATCGATTATCGATATATCGCCATTTGAAGCTATGGTAAAGAATCGATTACTAAGGTGTTCGCTGCGAACGCCCTGATAATCGATCTTTTTCCGTAGGTTTAAATGGCGAATCAATCGATATATCGCAAAGCACACCACGCCACTGTTCCCCGAACTCGCCTCCCGGAGCTAGGCTAGAATCCTTCCCGCTGAAAAATGCGCCTCGCAACATCACGATATTAAATTTCATGACGAGTTCCCTGCCAATTTTTGTCGAGGCGACAGATCGAAACGGAATCCTCCGATAAAAAATTAAGGAATGTTGAGGTAAAAAGAGATAATGGGTCTGATGCACGCAAAAGATACAGGCGTGGGAGAAGACTTGTAAGGGGTAAAATGACACGAAAATCGCGATAGAAGCATTAACAGGGTGTCTAGTATTTTTTAATTTTGAAAAATCCTGATAATTTCCTGATTTTACCTGATATTTTATAAAAAATTCCTGATTTTTTCATTTTGAAAAGTCCTGATATTTTCCTGATTTTTCTCGACTCCTGGCACGGTAAGCAAAAAGCAGTAAGACTTTCTCCGCTGAGGAGATTTGCGTAAGAAAAATTCCTGGCAAAACGTCCGATTTTTACGATTTTCCTGATATTTTCCTGATCGGCCAAAATTCCTGATATTTTCCGGTTTTTCCTGATGCTAGACACCCTGATTAAATGGATTACATTTTGCGATGAGGAACCACTATTTCTGGCCCATTTTAGAAACGAAATACATGCCGTTGATAACCTTATCCAGATATAAGCTTCTATAGGAGAGCCATAGATAGTGGTTCCTTATTGCAAAATGTAATCCAAATTAGTCTGAAATCTACTCATTTCGGCGCAATTTGCGTAAAGTTTGGAGAACGCTTTTTCAAAAATCTCGCATCTAGGGGTGGTTTCCGGTCACCGTATCTGGGAACAAGCAACAGCAACTTCCGGCAACTTGCGGTTGACAACAACTGACAAATCTTAACACTAAAAAAGAAGACTGCACAAAAATACACTCTACCAACTCAAGCTTGTGAATTACTACTGCAAAGTCAATAAGTTCACACTTGTCGCGAAATCGTGAACTGAGTTAGGAGTTTTCTGCGTAGGTAAAACGAAAAAAAACCAGCCTCATGCTCATTTTGTGCTTAAATTAACTAATGCAAGCGAATTTTCAACATTTTATGGGGACACAAGTATTCATGTATCATTGTGTTTTATTTGAAGGTGAAAGAATTTTGTAGTTCTAGGACGAAAAGTTTTTGCGACTTGGCTCACTTTCTTTCAACATTCCGCGATATACGATAAACTTTGGAAAATATGAAAAGGAAGTACTTACATTTGACGTAGTGCTCTTCGAATCTCGACCGCATTAGTTTATAAAATTCCAAATGTTTGTTGTAATCAGCCTTCTTCTTCGCCACCTCCTCCAAAAGCTAGACAAAAAAGAAGGGAAACAAAGATAATATAAAGAAGAATAAGAAACGGTATTTTGCCTTTCTAAGAATACCGAAAAAACAAGCATACTGCGCTTAGAAAACACTGCATTTAGAACTGCGGTTAGAATACACTAGAACTGTAAAATGGAAAGAGTGTTACAAAGATCAGTGCAAAATAAAGGAATGATGCTTTCCCGTTCGAGTGGGGCAATATCACGAATGTTCACGAGTGGGGCAAATATCTGACAATTAATTTCGTGAAGACAAAACTGTTAAATCAAGAATTAAAACATTTAGAACCAGAAGTCAAAGACACCTCAACACACAAATCACAATATCAACCTAACGAATGCATATTGAAAGGAGCAGATATGTGGTTGAAAGATACAGCTTTCGTTACAAAGTTACATCACTTTCTTCAGTTCATTATTTTCACTTATTCAGCTAATTTTAAGTAGATTTACAATGCTGCTTTGAGGGGAGATCAATGAACTTTACAAAAAACGCTGATTGTACTTCAACTTTACATGATTGGCCAGAAAATCTCTGCGCAAAATCATATAGGTCAATTCCACTTTTGCGATATGAAATACTAGCTATGGAAATTATTGGACTGCATTAATAAGATACCTAGTTCAAGATGCTAACCTAACTAAGATTCGCTGCTAAAATCTCCTGGAATGTAACTTAGTAATGAAACAACTTTTGCATTAAGGGGGCAAACAATACGCTATGTTTAATATCGCCGTATCATTCAATTAATCCAACCGAATACAGAGTTCGCAGTTGGGCAATTGGGCGTAGATTCAAACAGCAAAGAATAAAAGATAAATAAATAAATAAAATTCAAAATAATGATAAGAAACCCGGCAAACAACCCTATACAATGTAGAATTTTGAAGAAATACATTAAGACTTTTATTGCGAAGCCAGATCAAAGTAATGTCGAGGTAGATAAATTCAATTACAGTTGTCTCATTCAAAATAACTACCGTTTAGAAAAGCCGGTTTCAGAATGAACTACGGGAAGTAGACAACGTTTATCAATCGCAGCATGTGCATATTTGTAAAAGTACTCATCTGTTCGGCGAAGTCCACGACAGGTACATAATCTCTTAAAGTAACCCGAGAATTCAATTTTTTAATGAATGGATTTAACCCGGATCAACCTATGTATATACATCAAACGTTGACTATTTTCCTTTCATATTTTATTTTATTCAATAGCTCACTGGGAAAATTAACACACATTGGATCTAGAGTCCAGACTCTTGAAAACATTGACAAGAAAAAGGACTCTTGATTCAATCAGATTCAAGCTTAAATCAAAAGGAAATCCGCTCAAATTAAGAGGCTTGGTTCTTGATTTAAGCTTAAACCTGATTGAATCAAGAGTATTTTTTCTTGTCGATGTTTTTAAGAGTCTGGACTCTAGATCCAATGTGTTTGTTTTCCAGTGCTTTCTGCATTGAAATTTGCAGGGGTTGAGAATCTTCCAAGCATCCACATTGTCATGCGACCGCCAGCCGGCTTTCCACGTTTTTCCCATTGGTTTCCCACAAAATTTCCCACCAATCGGAAAAAAGTGACGTTTTTCTTCTGTATTCCTTTGATTTTCGACCTTCGGCCCCCTCCTTCCGCTCATTTTTGGGGCTATTCCACATTTTCACACGCCCGGGAGGGCATTTTCTGCACCCCTGGAAATTTGTTGACGAAACACTAAAAAAAAAGTTTGATCGTGTAAGCCGAATGAGCCATAGATTCGACTCTTCCGCTATTTCTGCTAAATTTATGAATCTTTTTCTTCTAATTTTTCAGATAATTTTGCTCGCAATTTTAACTGAAGTCTCCGAAAATTACAAGGAAAAATATTCATAAATCCCAATAATAATCGTTTTATCGAAGGAAATCAGGCAACTCTCGAATGTTCATACGGCGTTCTTCCTCAGCACAGAAGATTGCATTTTGCAAAAAGGAACCACTAGCATTGCAATGATGCTAAGATTGTGCAACTTCATCTATTGCAATAAAATTGCGGAAATCGTGGAAAACTACGAGATTTATATGGTAGTTTTTGTCTTAAATTTACAGTTTTTAGCGAGTAAAATAGAAACTATGAATGGATAATCGGGGTTTTCCTCCAGGACAAAAGAAGTTGCACAATCTTAGCAACATTGCAATGCTAGTGGTTTCTTTTTGCAGAATGCAATCCACATGGCAATGTTCCTCCTCCGAGAGGACATCCGCGGACGGAGCCGGGACGTCGCACAATGGATCGAGTCAATCAGAGAGGTCGGACATGAAATTTTTGACCAAAACTGTAAATTTTGATGTTTATTTGGTCACATTTTAGATTTTAACGGGTGCTTCTTGAAGCAAATTTCACGAGGAAACCAATGGAACCACTTTAAGAACCTCAACGTTTTGTATAAACGGAGTTATAAGCGTTTAAAGTTTCCAAATTTTGTCCGAGCTCTCCTATTGACTCGATCCACTGTGCGTCGCGTCGGGGCGGTTATTGCATGTGCAAGGTCGTCGAAACGAAATTCAAGTGCGAAGTCGTCCGAGATGATTTCTGCAGCCGGAGCGGAGGCGCGGAACCGGTCACTACTCACGACGCCGGCCACGAGAGAAACCGGTGTTCGACGGAGACAGGCGCGCTCCGAGACCGCGCGAAGGAGAGAGACGGAAAACAAACGGAGAAAGAAAGAAAAAAACATATTACCCGGGGAAAAAACCAATCAGAACGGCTTACGCCGAACTGGTCGAGAACCGGTGCGATGGTCGTCTCGACGATTACTTCACCCGAGTTGCCGCTCTCGTCTGCTTTTCAGCCGCGCTGAAAAACATTTTTCTTGAGATATTATTTTGACTTGAAATGCTGTTTCTTGTCGACAAAATTTCGTTGTTTTTTTTTTTTTTTTTTTTTTTTTTTGAGTGAAAAATAGAACGGATTTGTCGATCGATTCATGGATTTGTCGATCGATTCATGGATTTGTCGATCGATTCGTGGATTTGTCGATCGATTCATGGATTTGTCGATCGATTGACGTTTTTATTCTTCTATCGGTTCTTGTCGGCAGGGCCGGATTCACGGGGTGGTCACATGGGCCTTAATTGGCCCATGGCGTCAAATTTAGGGGGCGGCAAATTTTGCAATTTTTTAAATGTAGGTATAAAAAAATCGGATTTAGAAAAAAATTACCAACGAGAGAAGGCGACAAAATCTTCATTTCCTGAGAGTACAGTAGTTTCTAATTTTGTCGTCTTTCGGTGATACAAGAGACAGCACCTTCAATTAGTCAAGTTAAGAGAGAAACCAAACACACAATTTGGCCTGGAGCGGCGCGGCGCAGATAGCATTCAATTGATGACGCGGACTTCAGATAAAAAAAAGAAACCCTCGGCGCGGCGCGGCGGCGGTCGGCATGTAACACAAATTAGCGCCTACAAGAATCCATGAATACTTCACGCATTGCGTCAAAACAGTGTGCTCAGCAGCAGCCGCGATCGGCGTGAGACGCATAGCGCCTACAAGACAGTAGGAATAATTCACGCATTGTGTCAAACACAAAGCAGTGAGCGCGGCGCGGCGGCGGAAGCTAAAATTATTATACCTCATTTACGTTTGTTCTTTCATAATTTTCTCGTTCATTTTTTATAAATCGGAGGCCTTGTCCACACAGAGAAAGGTTTACGGAACTTGACTTTCGCGCAAAGTTCCGTGAAATTTTGCTAGTAGTGTTGACAGGGCTTTCGCAAAAAATATGTCCAACACGAGTAAACACATCTTATGCACCCCTTTCTTTCACGCACGTTTACTTGCTGGTTTTTATTGATGTTTCAAAACGAATGAGAAAGGGGCGGTAAAATACAGGCGGCCCATGGGCGGGCAAGTAGGTGAATCCGCCCCTGCTTGTCGGTCGAATGTTCACTACAGTCCCTTTATAGAGAGAGTTGAGACAACGCGGCTTATGGATGTCACAAACGGGTATAAAGATTACAAAAATCGGACGTTTTTTGTAATCTTCGATCAACCCATTCCCGAATTCCTATCTCCGTTCCCTCTCTCATTCCATTTGTTCCTTACCGTGCCGCCAATTCTCCGGTACGTTCCGGTTTATAATTTTTGCAGAGGACCAGTAGACAAGGTACGAATTTAAGCAATCTGATACATGTTCCTTGGTCAGAATTTCACGTAGAACACGATTCGCGTAGCGAAAATTACTAAAACCAACTCTTAACGAAGATATTAACGTTTTTATTTCACACTGGTTACGAGGAATTTGAACTGCCCGCTCACAAGAAACTCAAAGCTCTACGTGAGTCAAATCGCGCACTACAACGGTTTCAGCAAGCTTCTCAATCGAGCAATGTTCATTTCCCACCATTTGTTGTTCAAACTATAAGCAATTTGCTATAGCTGAGCCAAAGCGTCAAGATCGACGTTGCCAGATTTGTACATCGCAAAGACTGTCATGATAACGTCTAGCGCGCGATGTGAATCACGTAGAGCATTGAGTTTTCATGAGCGGGTGGTTTGAATTCGCGCGCATCAAGAATCATTAAATATCTTCGTCAAGAGTTGATTTCGGTGATTTTTGTTAAGCGCATCGTATTTTACGTGAAATTTTGGTTGAGATACATAAATCAGAATGCTGAAATTCGTACCTTGTCTAGTGGTCCATTGGTGAAAATGTAACATTCATTACCGTCATTTATTACTGTGAAGGCCTAAAATACGGAAACCAATCAAAATGCATTTGTATTGTCTTTATTATCAGTATAAAGGGACTCTAATGTACACCGGTTCTTTAATCATTGGTCGATCGGTTCCCGTGGATCGAAATCATAACCTCCGAAATTGACGATCACTTTCTCCTCCTCGAAGACTTCATCGTGGATCCGACAACCGGGTAGGCTTGGGGTCCGTCCCGTACCGTTTGCATACTGCGCCTGCGCGCGGCTCCATCTAGGAGACCCGGCTCTTAACGGTT